TCCAGGACAATTTCAGGCGCGGCTGGGGAGGCTGATTCCAGAACGCCCCAGGGGGGGTAGGGGGGCCAAGCCGGCCCAGGATGGCCCCAAGACGGCCCCTGAGGGCCCCAAGAGCCCAGGAGGCGTCAGGAGGGCCCGACGAGCGCCCCAAGTCGGTTATGAGTGGCTCAAGACGGCCCAAGATGGGCCCAAGATGGCCACTCGACCGCCCAACGTGCCCAAAGGCGCCCAATAACAACTTCCAAGAGGCCTTCGGGAGGCAAAAATTATGGGTTTTCTTTAGGTGTCGGTGCCATTCTCGCATACTCGGCTTCTCGGTCTCCAGTGTGCTCGAGACGGCCAAAGAGGCTCCCGAGGTCGTTCCAAGATGGCCCATTAGGCACCAAAGAGAGCCCCAAGATGAGCCCAGGACGGGTTCCAGACGGCCCAGGGCGGCCCCAAAACAGTCCCATAGGGTCTTCAGACCCCCCCAGAACAGCCGCAAGAGGCCCCCAAGATTGCCCCGAGGGGCCAAGGCAGCCGGAGAGGGCCCCAAGACGGCCCAGGAGACCCCCAAGGCGCCTTGAAAGCGGCTTTGAGAGATCCCAAAGAGAGCCCATCAGGGACCCTGCATTAGTACGGCAATGGTCATAACATCATATGTATACATATACACACAAGACTGCACTGGCGCTTCGCGCCACGCACCTTGGTCCTTTGAGTTTCGCGCGCATGCGGCGTGCGTGCGTGTGTACATTTGCGCATGCATATTCGCATGCATGTGTACACATGCAGGTGCATGCACGTTGTTTGTTTGTTTGTTTGTATGTATGTATGTATGTGTGTATGTATGTATATATGTATGTATGCATGTGCGCAAGTCAGTATGTATGTGTGCATGTATGTATGAATGTGAGTATGTATGATGATGGTAGGTTTCCAGGTATGTGTGTTTATGTGTGTATGTAGTGTTTGTTTGTTTGTATGCATGTATGCATGTAATGCATGGTATGTCTAAATGTATGTATGAATGTATGTATGTGTGTGTATGTGTGTACGTTTGCTTGTATGTATGTATGCGTGCGCGTTTGTATTCATGCATATGATCATGTATTTTTTTATATATATATATATATTCATGTATACATTTGCACATTCATGTATGTTAGTGTGTATGTTTGTGTGCACGTATGTATGGATGCATGTACGGAACTATGGATGTGTGGATGTGTGTGTATGTAAATGCGTATGTGTGCATGAGTGTATGTATGGATGTGTGTATGTGTATATATATGCATGTATGTATGTGTGTATGCATGTATGTCGGTATGCATATGTGCAGGCGTTTACGCATGTGTCTATGCATGTATGTGTGTATGTGTGCTTGTTTGTGTGTGCATGTATGTTTGTGTGTATGTATACATGTATGTATGTGTATGTATGTATGTTTGCAGGCATGCAGGTGTTCAGGTATGCTTGTATGCATGTGTGCAAACGTGTGTATGCATGCACGTATGAATTCACGTGTGTATGTTGTATGTATGATGTACGTACGCATGCATATATGTATGTGTGTACGTATGGTTGTATGTATGTTTGTATGTATGTACGTACGTATGTATGTATGTATGTATGTATGTTTGTTTTTCATGTGTATACGTATGTATTCACGCATGCATGTATGTAGATATTTCGGTATGTATGTATGATGTATACCTATATATGTATACATATACGCCGTTCGTGCGCATACATGTGTGTCATGATTACGTGTATATGTCTACGTGTACACACGTGCATATATGTGTGCATGTACATATACATGTGCACGCGCCTGCACGCGCGGGGAGTGACGCATAAATTCGCTGGCCCGACAGGCCAGAGGCTCGCTATGAGCTCTGGTAGCAGCTTGAGCACGTTTCTAGTTCGCGCACGCGTGGCGGCCCCTGGGGGTGCCCGGTCCAAGAGTACCCTGGGCATTGCTGGTCAAGGATTCCGGCACTCTTGGGGCCCGTCTTCAAGGCTCTCAGAATCGTCTCAGAGGGCCCCAAGAGGCTCCCAACATGGTCCAAGAGGGGTCCGAGACGCCCGATGATCGCTCCAAGACGCCCATGATGGCCCTCAGACGGCCCAAGAGGCCTCCAAGATGGCCCCAAGAGGCCTTCAAGACAGGATGCTGAAAATGAATGTTTTACTTAGCGAATGGTCCTTAAGGGCCTCTTGGCGCGTCTTTGGGGCCTCTTGGGCCGTCTTGGGGACCTCTTGGGCTGTCTGGAGGCTGTCTTGCGTTGCCGTGGGGCTCTCCTCGGGAACTTGGACCCTCGTGGGAACCTCCCATGGCCCTCGTGGGTCTCTCGTGAGAGCCTTTCGGGTCCTCGTGAGCTTTTTGGGGGCCGTCTTGGGGCTATCTTGGGATGCTCCTGGCCCGGCTTGAAGCCCTCTTGGGGGCCTCCTGGGCCGCTTTGGGGCGATCTCGCAGGCTTCTTGGGCCGTCTTGGACGCTGCTACGACGCAGAAGGCGAATCTGCGAAACATGAGCGTTTTCCTTAGCGAATGGATCGATGTTTGCTTCTTGGTGGCTCTCCTGAAGGCCTCTTTGAGCGTCTTTGGGGCCTCTGAGGCCGTCTTGGGGGCATCTTGGGCCGCCTTGGGGCCGTCTTGCGCTGCCGTGGGGCTCTCCTGCGCCTCTCCAACCACTTCTCTAATCGCTTTGAGCTTGCTGGCAAGGCCCCGCATCGCCCCCTGGGAGGCGCGGCAGGGTTGGGGGGCCTCTTCCAAGGGCGTCCAGGGTGCCCCAAAGTTTTAGATTCTGGGGCTTCGTTTTTTTTGGGGGGGGCGGTTTTCCCACCCCCCGGATTCTGAAAGTAGATGAAGAGGAATGCGTGTATATATGTGTATATATACGTATATATATATATATATATATATATATATATTCTGTACGCGGCTCACTGCGGCAAGTCCGATGTCCGTTGTCCACCCCAAGCTCCCCTCCACCCTTCCCGTCACGTCCCCTACCCTCTCCTCCTCTGCCTCTAGATGAGCCCGGGGGGCCCACCCAGGGCCCCCGCCGTGCCCTCCCTCCTCGGCCGGGCACCCCCGCCCCCCCCGCCCCAGCCCCGGCGTGAACGGTGAGGGCGAGGAGAAGGGGATGAGGAGGAGGAGGAGGAGGAGGGGGAGGAGGAGGAGGAGGGGGAGGAGGAGGGGGAGGAGGGGGAGGAGGAGGAGGAGGAGGAGGAGGACCAGTGCAAACCCAAGATTCATCAACGATGTTGCAGTGAACCCTCCCTCCAACTCCCCTCAGGCCCCCACAAGGGTTCGTTTTCACCGAGGGAAGTGCTCTGTTGGAAAACAACCGTTTGAAAATCCAGAAATATGCCAGAACGCATTCTTGGGTCTTCAACGCAGCGAATCACCGTGACCGCTGCGTCTTGACGATCGTAAATCGCGCCAGAACGTTATTCCTTGGATTTCAACACCGCGAATCAACATGACAGTTGCGCCCTGATATTCCCACGTCTTGCCAAAACGCCATTTCTAGGACGTTAGCCATAAGAATCCTTGAACTTGCTGCGAACTCTTGAGACGAATGTGCGCGGCGCTGTTGCGAGAGGCGGGAGCCACATTTTGAAAGCGGACCGCCCTCCATCCGAGAAGCTCTTGCGAACGTTTACAATGAACAGGTGCGGCGCCAAGGCGAGAGCCACATTCGAAAACGACCCGCCCTCCATCCGTGAAACTCTCGCACATGTTTAAGACGAATGTGCGCGACACTATTGCGAGAGCCACATTTTGAAACTGGGCCGCCCTCTACACGTGAAATGTTTGCAAATGTTTGAGACGAGTGTGCGCAGCGCTAAGGCGAGAGCCACATTCTGAAAGTGACCAGCCCTCCATCCGTGAAGCTGCTGCAGATTTAAAGTTTCTAAGTTTCAGAATCGTCACTGGTGAGGAAGTCTCAAGCGAAACGCCTGTCCCGGCCTTTCGACCAGGCGCAGGGTGCGACAGGGAAGAGTGTTTTATAACGAAGAGAGATGGAAGCGGAGGAGGAGCGGGAGGAGGAGGAGAAGATGATGACGGTAATGATGCTTCTTTTCCACGAACTAGCGCCACTCGCGCGCGACCTCAGACGGATCCGCCGAACAAGGCGCCCCCAGTCCTCTTCCCCTCCCCCTTCTTGCTGGGCGAGTAGCCCCTCACGTAGCCAAAACATCTGGCGGCTCGACTCGCTCCAGGCATTCTGGCCCCAGCCCTCTCGATCCCTTCTCGGGGAGCAGCTGTTCATCCCGGACTGCTTTTTGTTGACCCAGGGGCCAGAGATGTCCCCCGGAGCCCGACGAGGCAACAACCCAACCGCCCAGATTGGTTCGAGCAAGTTGGAGGTCTCGGCACCTCCTCAAAAATCGTCCCCTGGACTTGTCCTGGGGTGAGTCGTGGCTTGAACCTCGAGGAGAACCCAGCCGTGGCCACCAGCAGCTTCGCGTAGGCAAGAACAGTGGAAAAGCGCCAGGAATTGAAGAAAACAACAACACGGCACAAACATAAACTTTCGACGTTTCCCACGGATTTCTTGGATCTGCGCTGGGCCCCCCTGGCGGCGCCTCCAGCGCCGCCCATGGCGCGCTCCGCGCGCCAGGGAGGGGGGCCCAGCGCCTACAGTGGAGGCCTATGCCAAGAAACGCCCTGCTTGCCTCCAGGGTGCCCTGGGTTTCTTGGGGTTCGATGGTTTTGCCATGGAAAGCGTGACGTTCCCGCACCAAAGATCAAATGACGTCCTGGGGTCTCAGGGCTGGGTTTCTTGTGGAAGGTTTCTTGTGGTCGGGCCTCCACTGTATCCGAGAAATCCGCGCGAACCTCCTAGATGTTATGTTTATGCTGTCCTTCTGCTCCTCCGAGGAAGGCTGGACCATCGATCCTCGGACGCCAGGGCCTCTCCGTGCAGCAGCCGTTTCGGCCTTGGGCCGTCGCAGCCGCCCGGCCTTGGCCCGCCCGTGCTGGGCTGGCGGGCGGGGCTTGCTGCGATGAGGGCGGCGCAGCTCCTCCTCCTGGTGATCCGGAGCCCTCGCCTCAGGGCAGGGCCAGCGAAGACAACGGTGGGTGGCCTTCGGGGTGCCGTTATCTCGATTTGCCCGGCTCCGGCCGCCAATGCAGGGCTGCGATGAAGAAGCGGCTGGGGGTCGGCCCTGGTGTGGCCCTGTTGTTGCAATGTGGAAGCGAAGTGGTGGCACGGTCTTCTGGCTAGGTGGATGGACGACGCAGTTAGAAGTAGAGGGTTAACTAAAACATACAGGCTAATTAATTGGTGGAATGGTCTCCTGGCTAAGCGGAAGAAAGGCGCAGCTATGATGCTGGGCGTTACGCGGCGGCGCCGTGGGCGATTATAAATAGATCGGGTTCCACGCCTGTTGGCGGGCGTCGTCATCGCCATTGAGATTATTTCAGCGTCCCCTCCTAAATGCTTCTTCCCAGCGGCAGAGTGGTACTTTGATTGTCGTCCCCGCGCGCTTTGTGTCTTAATCGTCATCCTACACCGCACCCAGAGGTCCAATCCCCCGCCCCTGGCCCTTCGCGAGGGAGGAATGCGGGCAGGGAAGGATCCATGCTCGAGGATCGAGGTGCTCGGACCTCCAGAGGCTATCCGTCTGCGGAGTGCTTCTTGAGGCCTCCAGAGGCGCCTCGGATGCGGAGCTCCGGGGAGGAAGGAGGGTGAGGAAGGGGGGACGAACTGGACTGGTGGCTGAGTGGGCATTGGAAACGGCAGGGCAATTTTTCAATTGTTCACAAACTTCTGGCCCTTGATTATGCAAGCGGAAAAAACTTCTCACCGAAATGGGCCAAGAGCGGCGATGGAACCGGAACAGAAACGGCGACGGAGCCGCAACACAAATATTCGTTAAACCAATGCTTTGCTGCTTCCAAGGCTCATTACTTACCCAGGACGAGAGATTTGCTTCTTGAGGTGCGAACCGCGACACTACGAAGCGCAACCCCCGCCCCCGGATAATCGCAATACGCCGACGGTGCGAACGACGCAGACGAAAATCGTTCTCACCCCAACATACTGCACATTTGCGCAGCCTGGAATCAGATCCGCTCAACATTCCAGTCATACAGTACTCGTGACGATGATTTGTTTCAGGCGTAAGAGGAAAACTGTCGTCCTGGAGATGTAAGACTGGTGGTCGTCGTCCAGAGTATCCCAGGTGAGGGAGGTGGTGGGGACCGCCACGTGCTCGGTCAACGGCGACTGCTCTCCTGAAGGCTCGTTCTGCTACGCTCCCACACACGAGTGCATCGTGAACACGCCACCGGGCTACTATGCTCACCCAGAGGAGGTGGGCTTCAGCATGTGCCCAGTGGGGTTCGTGGCGCCCCACGCGCTGAGTACCGAGTGCACCGCGTGCGAGCCAGGCAGGTACCAGGACGAGGAGGGGCAGACCGAGTGCGATTGCATCCCAGAGGGCTACGAGGCGAACTCGCAGCGGACCGCCATCGTCAAGTGCCCCAAGGGCAAGGCCAACCCGGCGGTGTGCAGTGACGGCGGCGAGCACGGCTCTCCGTGTCACATGTGTGCGGCGGGGAGGTACGCGCCCGAGGAAGGCATGCACCTTTGTGTGGACGTCTCCGCTGGCTTCTACGCCAGCGAAGATCGCACCGAGGAGGTGGAGTGCCCCCCTGGAACGTTCACGTCCGAGCAGGGCGCCTCGGAGTGCTCGGCGTGCGGGGCTGGCAGGTACACCAGCGTCCTGGCCTCAGTGGAGTGCACATGCGCGCCCGTCGGCCACAGGCCCAGCGAGAACGCCACCTCGGTGGAGCCCTGCGCCCCGGGCTTCTACCAGGACAAGGCGTGCCAGGCGGAGTGCGAGGCCTGTCCCGCGGGCAAGTACATTGGCTCCGCAGGCGCTCACGACTGCGAGAACGCGTCCGCAGGCCATTACCCCAGTGCCGACAAGAGCGTTCAGGTAGCGTGCGCGAAGGGCACGTATCAGGACGAGAAGGGCCAGGCCTCGTGCAAGACGTGCGCGGCTGGGAAGTTTACCAACACGACGGGCTCGCACGCATGTGCTTGCTCGTCTGCTGGACACGCCCCGTCCGCGGACTTTACCAAGCAGGTTCCATGCAGGCCGGGCACGTATCAGGACGAGGAGTGTTCAGGTCCTTGCAAGACGTGCGAGGCGGGCAAGTACCACAAGGGCCATGGGGCTATGAGCTGCGACCCCGCCCCTGCGGGCCATACGCCAGCGGACAATTTCATTACTACTGTGCCCTGTGAGCCTGGCACTTATGCACACGAAGTGGGCATGAGCGAATGCTTGGCGTGCGAGGCCGGCAAGTTCGCGGACGAGCCGGGTTCCCACCTCTTGGTTTTCTTCCTTGTCCACTTCTTCGCCTCCTCGTCCTCCTCCTCGTCCTCCTCCTCCCCCCTCCTTCTCCAGGCTCCCATGGGTGCTCCGAAGCCCCCGCTGGGCACTTCCCGAACGAGAACAACAACGACGTCGTGCCATGCGCTCCAGGCACTTATCAGAAGGACACGGGCAAGTCGGCTTGCGATGTCTGCCCGCCGGGCAAGTTCACGGAGGTCGAGGGTTCCCACGCGTGTCACTGTGCATCCGCAGGTCACCACCCCAGTGACAACCACGATTCAGAAGTGGAGTGCGAGCTCGGGACTTTCCAGAACGAGACTTGCCAAGAGGAGTGCCGCGCTTGCGCTGCGGGCATGTTCAGCCCCACCAAGGGCGCACACGAGTGCGCCTGCGCCTCGGCGGGGCACCAGCCTGAGAAAAACGGCAACGGACTGAGCATAGGCGAGTTGCCCTGCTCCCCTGGCACCTTCCAGGGCGAGACGTGCCAGGTCGGCTGCGCGACTTTCGGTGGAGTGCCCCTTCGCTGGAGTGACCTTTGGTGCGGGCCCGCAGTGGCCACCCGGTCACCAGCTTGCGCGCTTGAAGTTGGGTCCCCCGCGCCCTGCGGCCCCCTGAAGCCGCGCACTCAAGGTCACTCTTGCCTAGGGTCGCTCTTGCGTGTCGCCGACAGGCTGAGTGCGAGGAGTGCCCAGCGGGGAGGTTCGCCTCGGCCGAGGGCGCGCACGAGTGCGTCTGCGCCGCGGCGGGGCACGCGGTTGCGGACGACAGGGCGGCGCAGGTGGCCTGTGACATTGGCACGTACCAGGACGAGGCCTGCCAGCCTGAGTGCAAGCAGTGCGAGAGCGGGAAGTTCGCTGACGTCAACGGCCCGTTCGGTAGCAGATCGTGGGAGCCTTGCATCTCCCCGCAACTCCGTCTTGAGGGTGCACTAGCGCCGATCAGGGCTTGGGAATCGATGAGGTAGCGCCGGTCTAGCGTCGACTAGCGTCGATTAACGTCGGTTCGCAAGAGCCAACAAGATGGTATGGGAGGTTCCCATGAGTTGCCGCAGAAGGCTCTCACTACTGCTCCTGTGCTGCTCTTGGCCACCAGCCCACGTCCGACGCGAGCAGTATGGAACCCTGTCCCAACATGACGTTCCAGCATCACCCGTGCCAGCCGAAGTGCGAACACTGCCCGATCGGGAAGTTCACGATTGCGGTGGCCTCGGTCCTCTGCCTTGATTCAGTTGCGCTGCCGCGCCCCTCCGTCACGCGCCGCTGGAGGGAGTTGGGGCTGGGAAAGGGGCGCGCGGGGGACAAGGTGCCATGGGCATTGATACCCAGACCTTTGGTTTTCGTGCTGCTCGGAAGGCGAGTATCGCACAGAACTGCCCTATCAAAACGAGGGCATGCCGGCCTCGATGCGCCGTGGGGGAGGCCTTCTCATTGCTGCGCCAGGAGCGAACAGAGCAGAACATCAACGCCCAGCGCACACCAGCCGCTGCAAGGGCGGTGGCGGATGTGGCGCCTGGCTTCGTGCTGACACCTGCGGGCGATGGTGAAGTCGCCTGCGTGCCGGGCACCTACGCGACCGAGGGTGTGCCAGGGGAAGACAAGACGTGCAAGCCGTGCTCCCCAGGCCGTTTCACGACATCCACTGGGAGCACGGTCTGCGAGTATTGCCCCGAGGGGATGCACGTGTCGCAGTCGGGCCAGACCGCGTGCCGCAAGTGCGCCATGCCGGAGATGTGGGACGAGGTAGAGGGTAGCGACGACTACGACAGGTGCATGACTTGTCCGCTCTGGCAGCACAGCCTCGAAGACGGCCCCCTGACCACCGTGTGCACGAGCTGCTTCGCTTCCGCGGACGTCATGCTGTCCATGAGCAACTGCGGGGTCATGACCATGTTGATAATCACTGCATTCTTGTGTTCTGTGAGTGGCATGCTATACTTGGTCAGGGAGCTTAAGTTGCTATTCAAGGAGACATCCTCGAGACAGTTCGTGGATGCCCAGCAGAAGCTGCTCGAGAACCCCGAAGAGGATCCAGAGATCGCGGACCCTCAAGAAGCTGCTCGAGAAGCTACCCGAGAAGTTTCTCAGGAAGATCGTCGAGAAGTTTCTCGAGAAGGTACTCGGCCTGAGGTCGCGGACCCTCCAGTAAATCCAGAGGGGGCCTGCTAGGACGTCGACGTGGCCACTCTGGGAGCATACCCTCCACCTGCTGCTGCTCCACCTCCACCTCCTCCAGCCTCTGAAGCTGGGGCTGGCCGAGTTTGCCAGCCGCCCCGTAGCACGTCTCGTTTTCGATCGGCCTCCGCGCTTCGCAGGTCGAAGCCCACAGCTTAGCTGCTGCACGCATGTCGCCATATGCACGCGGTGTTCCTCATGTCCAGGCAGTGTCAGCGCCACGCTGTTCCCGGAGCCCAGTCGAACACGCCTGCTTTACTTGTATTGTGCTCTCGAAGCGCTTGGCCATCCGCACGAGCACCTCAGGCGTTGTTGGACCTTGGAGGTCCTACGTGCAGGCTCCCATGGCTCCCACCAAGGCGCCACGCGGGTTGAAGAGGCTGGCAGCCTCCTGAGAGAGATGATCTTACTGAGGATGAGGAGGAGGAGGGAGGGAGGGAGGGAGAAAGAGAGAGGGAGGAGGAGGAGGACGAGGAGGAGGAGGAGGAGGAACAGGTAGGAGATGAAGGAGGGCCCACTCTTCCCCTCTTGAAGCGGGGTGGTTTGTCAATACATACAGATGTAGGTGCGACTCATAACGCGACTGGCCGCTGACGGTCGCAGCTGGAAGGTGCCTTGGGCGAATTCAAAAGAAGTGCCCCTTTAGTGGTAAATCGGTCGGCTCACTCCTCCACCACCACCAACTCCTCGCCCTCCCCTTCCTCCTTCCTCGTTGTCCTCCTTCTCCTCCTCCTCCTCCTCCGATCGGGCTGTCCAGCCGTTGCGAGTCGGACCATCTTCTGACACAGTGCCAGTTCTGGCTGGGCAAATTCGCTCGCGCCAGACCGGTACGGCGCGAGTGGACCACAACGGGCCGACGATGTGTTTCCCGGGCCCCGCCTGCACATTAGTCCAGGGCAGGCCAGGTCGAGTTGTGTCACAGTACAAGTTCGCTTCCACTCGTGCACTGCCTGGGGTGGGCGAAAGAGGTGGATTGGGAGAGATGGGTTCGAGGCGGGGGTGGACCCAGAACCACTGCCTGTGGGATCGACCTGCAGGGACATCGGCAGGCGGTGGAGGGGGACAGATTCGGGCCCTGGGGAGGCCATCTAGACATATAATCCACCGCCTGCCGAGGTCCCCGAGGATCGATCCCCCGGGCGATGGTCATGGATAAGCCCCCGCCTCGCAGTGGGGGCTGCCGCGTGCACCAGGTTTGGGTTTCACCGCCGGACGCTCGCCTCCACGAATGTGCGCCTCATGCGCCAGGGGGCGCCGGAAAACCTAGGCGCGCTCGGCACATTGAGAGAACGTTCGCGTATTGGGGGGGGCAGGGGGCGGGTGAGAGTGGTAGGATGGCAGACCTGGCGCGAGCTCACCTAGCTTGGCTAACCCCCCTCTGCTTCCCCCCCCTGTTCGTCCACCCCGAGATGTTCGGTAGCAAATCGTGGGGGCCTTGTCTGCCCTCGAAATTCTGTCGCTACATTGCATTAGCGAGCGTCAGCGTCTGGTAATCGATGGGAGAGCGCCGATGAGCGTCGATTTAGCGTCGATTTGCGTCGATCTAGCGTCGACTCGTGCCGATTAGCGTCGGTCAGCGTCGATCCGCAAGTGGCAGCAAGATGGTGCGGGAGGCCCCCATGAGTTGCCACAGAATCGAGATGCATCGCGGCCCGTCGGATGTGGGCGGCCGAACGGGCAGGCAGAGGCGAAGCTTGATGAGCCTGCCCCTTTCCCCCCCCCCCTCGGGCGGAGGTGGCCCTGCGCTGCCCAGACAGGCGGGACTGGCCTGAGCTCCTCGGACAGTCGCGCCTCCCGTCAAAATCATCCCGCAAACCCTCCCGCCTCCCTTCGACATCATCTTGCAAGCCCTCTTCTTTCCTCCCCTTCTGGGTTATGATGTTCCAGCCTGCTTCAGCCGCGATCATCCTAAACAAATTCGAGCACGGGAAGAATTTCGAGCGCCTGGGCCTGCAGGGCCCAGAAGCGCGACACTCCTGCGAAATGTGTCACGTGTTGGGCCTGGGAGGCGATAGTCGTTCTACAGTTCTCCAGGGTTTCGGGCAGACATTGTTTCGACGCTTTCTTCGGTGCTCGAGATTATGGTTGGGGAGTCGCCCTTGAAGTGCGATGGGAACAGCATGACTCCTGGGTTCCTCTCTCTCTCTCTCTCGCTCTCCGTCCTCCTCCTCCTCCTCCTCCTCCTCCTCCTCCTCCTCCTCCTCCTTCCGGAGACATTTTGGCTCAAGATGGCACGCCATCGCGAGCCCAGCGTGGACACCGCTAGTCCGCGGCCAGTCCCAACTGTCTTGCAGCCACACCCAGGGACGAGCTGCCGTCCACTCCTGCGTTATATCCCGGCGTTGCACGCCGCCTTCCATATCGCTGTGTGTCTCGTGAGCTTTGCGCCGAGCATCCATATTCTCTCGCGCCCTGGGCCGAGCATCCATATCCCCGCTTCCCTGTACTCCGTGCCTGAGCTTCCTCTCGTCGATCCCCGCGTCCGTATCCCGCTGGACGTCGTCGCGTTCGTTTCCGAGCAGCAGCAGCAGCAGCCACGCAGTGGCATCGTATTCAGATTGGTAAGTGGCGCAGCTCAAAACAACTCCGTGCCAGTCGAGTTCCAACCATGTCTTCCAGTGAAGAGCGTTCCACTTCACGCAATGCCCCCTCAACCAGCCGCAGAAGGAAAGACCGTCGCCGAGAAAAGGTACGTCTCGAACCTGACCGCGCACATCGGGGCCCCCATGAAAGCGATGATAAAGGCTCTCGTGCATCCGCCGCCCGCAATACACTGGCAACGTACGGCGACAACGGCTTCTCCTCGCAGCCAGCCGAACCACGTTCGGGAAGAGCATCGGGACAAGCAGCACGAGCAGGCAGATCCTCAGCCCGCCAGGCGCAGCAGACGCCCACCTTCGCCATGGACACAGGCGAAAAAGAACCGCAAGTTCCCCCTCGCGCTGCTGCCGACGCTGCTCCTCAACAACACCGACATGGCGTCTGGACTGAACCTCATGCACAGCAGCCAGCTGCAGCCCCTCGTCCCGATCCATTGGCAAGAGCAGCTGGTCCCTGGCGCGAAGGAAGCGCAGCCTCACATGCTCATGCTGCCGCAGCTCAAGGCCACGGTCTACTCCCAGCCGCTGGAGGAGCCGCCACCATCGGAGCCACCACCGCGCATCATGCTGAAGCCGACCAAGCCACACCACCTGCGCCTGAGCTCGTTCGTCTCCTTGGACTGGATCCTGACCTGGACAAAGCACTACAATAACTCATGCAAGCACAAGTCGCACACGCAGCAAGTACCTTCCAAGCGCAGGCCAATCAGCTACTTAATCAATCCAGAGAAAGCTTTCGTCAACTTCTCGCACAGCAAGTTCAAGGCACTGAACGCCGAGTCGACTCCCTTCATGATGTCGTTGCTCGAACCCGCCGCGAACAGGACAGACAAGCTGCAGACCAGCAAAAGATGCGGCGGCAGATCGACCGGATGCGCGAGTCGCTCGCGCTCGCCGAGGCGCAGGCCCCGATCGCGGACCCCACCAGGCCCGCCGACTTGGACCGCGCGATCGACCCGACGATCTTCGCCATCGGAGCCCAACGCCCCATCGCGCCTGGCGTGCTCCTCAACGACCTGCAGGAGTGGATTGCGTCCGCCAACCTGGACACGGACGCCGTCGAGCTAGCGGAGATGAACCTGCACGCCGCTTCATTCTTCGAGTCAGAGGAGATCGCGCCTTCGCAGTTCCTCGGGCACTTGCTCTCTCTCGAGCCCTTCGCGATGCTGCAGGGAAGTGGAAGCGATTCACATCGACGGACACTATGGGTGTGCCGACTGACATCTACCTCAACCCTGGCAAGGCCCCCAAGCAGATCCGTTCCGAGATCCAGTGCAAGAAACTCCTCCAACTTCTCCAGCATCGCTATCCGCAACAGGCCTGGAAAGCATACCGCACCAAGGGCGATATCCACTGCAGCGCCATGCCCGTCGTGCGCCTGGACGTCGCAGACCATGCCGATCCCACCATCTTGGAGTGGAGCGAGAAGGCAGTCGAGCTCGCTCACTTCCGCGACATCGGCCGCGGCGCCGTCCTCATTTCTTTCCAGGCGCTCTTAGCGGACACGGCTGAGGCCACGTGGCGGGTTTAGCCGCCCCTGGGCACCGTGGAAGCCAGTCGAGGACACTTTGCCCTGCTCGTTCATCACCTGGAACGCCCGCGCGCTCATGCGCCACAAGCGCTCGAAGCGCCGCCGCAAACGGGCAGCCCTGCAGCAGTGCATGCGCCAGCGCGCTGCCATTATCCTGCCGGAGTCCCACGGCTCGGAAAAGCTTCTCCGCGCGCGGGTCGACGCCCAGCCCTGCCCGTGCAAGCTCTTCTTCTCACAGTTCGTCGACGAGTCCGCCGATGACGCGCGCGTGGGCACGGGCGGCGCGGCCGCCCTCATCCCGCGGCCCACGCGCGGGCAGCTGGAGCAGCCGCGGCCGTCCCAGCTCCCGATCTTCGCCCACGAGGAGCTCGTCAAAGGCCGCGTCCAGCTCGTCGCCGTCACCTACGCAGTCACCCGCAACACCATCGTCATCATGAACGTTCATAATCACGAGATCGACGCCAGGGGTCGAGATCGCATTCAACGAGCCTGGCACCAACACCGCACGTGGGCGGAAGCCAACTACCTGCACCGCACCTTCATCGCCCTGCACCACTTCAACACTGCCAGCCGCCCGCCGAACAGCTTCTTCCAGCCGCAGCCACAGCGCGCCCGCCTCGCGCTGGACAACAGCGCTCGGCAGCAACAGCCGTTCTGGAAGGCCCTCTTTGACAGCGTGCTGGAGATCGAGTCCGACCTACCGACGCGCTTCAACAAGTCCGACTTCACCGCTTCAGCCATCGGCCGAATCTTCATCAGCTTGCCGTCGCACGCCTCGCTTGAGCTCACGCCGGTCATCCGCATCGCCCACGACCCTGCCATCCTCTCGGGCCGCCTCTTCAGCGACCGCGCCATCGTCTCCT